ATCTAGAATTGTATGCATTATATATGCAATTAAATATTAACATACTTTAGAAATAATTAAAATGTGCAAATTTACCTTGATTCTTTTTTATTTTCTTCACATATCTAATGTTTCATCTCAAGCATGCTCTTCACTAATTGGAAATGATGCCTGAGGGACAGTGCAAGGATTTGTGTGCCTGGAGAAACCTCCAGTAAAAATTTAGCACATCAAGAAGAAAAGAAGTGTGTGCTTTATTTGAAGAGTACAAAAATACCTTGATCACTATACATATCTTTTTCTGCTCTTCTTTAATATTTCATCCTCCAGACATAATAGTACCTGTCTGATGTCCTGAGGATCCATCATGTGTGTGTTCATTTTCCTTCTCTGTAATTCACTGCAGGCTTCCTTCACCTCTGCTGTCAGTCACCACGCTGAATCCAGTGTCCCTCTTTACCTACTGTTATAGGTCTCTAGAGGTTTAGCTATTTTAGTTCTGGCCCATGGCCTCTCAGTTTGAGTGTGAGAGTGAACGCTGCCATTGAGCGTGTCCTGACTGATCACAACCACTCTCTGTATCCAGATTGTGTCCATTTGACCCCGTCAGACCCCCTCTCTCTCAGGAGTGCCCCCACCTACCGGGATAAGCCTATGAAACATGATCGAAGGAATTGTGAGGAGCAGAGATGTGAGGTTTACCTGAGTCTGTAATTCACTGCAGGCTTCCTTCACCTCTGCTGTCAATCACCACGCTGAATCCAGTGTCCCTCTTTACCATCATCATGACACTATTCTCTATCCCTCTTTCCCAATTATAACACGCATTTATAATTTCGACATACATACAATGTCTGTATACGGTGACAGTTATGTTGTCAACATATGTTCACACAGCAGAAGAACAGGGCCTACGGTTTTCAGTCCTTTTTAGGCGTAAAACACTGACGTGAATCATTGTAAAGATTCCACTAAGAAAAATAATCACTTACAACGTATAAAACATGCCACGTAAGCACCGCAACAACACAGTAACAATACTGAAATACTGTGACATTTACACAGTCTATAACTGGGACGCGAGATTAGCCTACGTCATTTGCGTTTGTCTGACACAAGGGAGCGCAAGTCCGCAGTTTGATACGAGAGTTTTCCAAAGAGTAATTTAATTTAGTATTAAATAACAATGAATTAGTTGCAATTAGACTTTCTGGATATACGGTTATTGTAGGCAGCTAAAGCTAAACTGAGAGTGAGTCATTTCCACTGGAAAAGATCCGATATGAATTACGATCCGACATGGTTCAACCGGTTCAAATTAGTCATTTTTCCAAATCGGACTTGTTCTGATTGTAAACAGACGACCAACTGTACAGTGCACACGTCTTTGTTTCTAACACTATATTTAAACTAAAATAGATATGTTACTGAAAATCTACATGATTTAAATAATACAAAAATTCTTCTCATTACTGCATACGAGTAGGCCTATGTGCCGTTGAAAGGCTCAAAATGCTTCCAAGCTCTTGGGACACATTCATCTTTCTGTTTTGGAGTGTAGGAACATTTGACAAAATAAATGAATCAAACAGTGAAAGTCTACTGTTATAGGTCTCTAGAGGTTTAGCTATTTTAGTTCTGGCCCATGGCCTCTCAGTTTGAGTGTGAGAGTGAACGCTGCCATTGAGCGTGTCCTGACTGATCACAACCACTCTCTGTATCCAGATTGTGTCCATTTGACCCCGTCAGACCCCCTCTCTCTCAGGAGTGCCCCCACCTACCGGGATAAGCCTATGAAACATGATCGAAGGAATTGTGAGGAGCAGAGATGTGAGGTTTACCTGAGACCCCGCCTTGCTCATGCAGGGAAAGATTATCCTGAAGGAATGAGTGAAGCTGCCCCCATCCTAATCCTTTACCTGAGCAGGTGGCAGATTATTCTCTAGACCGAGTCTGCTATGCAATAGACTAGAGAATCACTGAAGTGTATATTGTGTTTATGTATTAGAGATTAACAAAATTATTAACAAAGATATACTGCTTGTAAATGGCCTCCATTATGATTGGCTAACCTTTTCGCATGTAAAATGAGTAACAAAGCCTCTGCCAAGTTCATGAAAAATGTGACATTCAAATGTTAAATTCATATGCTCTGATAGTTCTTATGTAAATATGATGCACTTTCTATGAATATAATACACTAAAGTGCACAGAAGTACTCTTTTATTACAAAAGAGCAAGGAAAATCCATATGCATATGCATTCATATAATCCATTTAATCATCATAGTTATACCTTTGCTCTGGCAGTTTAAGCCCTGTTCACACTGACAGCAATTAAATTGATTAAATATAACTGCTGTTGGCTGTAGACATTACTTGACTGTATCATGGAGTGGATTGCTGTTTGCGCTCCCATTGGTAGTTGGCATGTTACATCGCCGCTCAGTTGCATAAAGTAAAGCATGCTCAATTCTGCCAGATATGGTCACTAAGCAATATGTCCCTTTTTCTTCCTTCACAACAAGGCATGAAGTCGCTTTCCAAAACCTTTACCTTCTCTGTTGGAATGAGCTGCCAACTTCTTCCCAAACTGCTGAAACCAGCAACTGAAGACAACTTTTCTGCCAGAACCACTCCACATCCCAATGCACTTGCCAAAACAAAAACAAAAACTTTTGCATTTCTCCTCTGTTCTAGCTTGTTTTCTAACATTATAATAAATGTGGAATTGTATACTGTGAATATTAGCTCTGTGATGTATTGCTAATGCTCTTCTATTGTAAGTCGCTTTGGATAAAAGTATCTACTAAATGCATAAATGCAAAATCTACAGCAACTTTCTTCGAAGACAAAAGACTTCACAGTTGCAACAGAATCATTGTCCATGTAAACGCCCCTTTAGGCTTCCCTGCGTCATTGACAATAAGCAATGCAAGTTTTGACACAAGTATTAAATGTCTGCCGTGATTTATAGGGGATGTGTACTCGCAGAATGCCTTATACAAATGGATTAAAAGGCTTCAGACTTCATTAACTTGTGTCTGTGTTAATGACATACGCTGCAGTCACAGCGGTGGTGATGACTGGCTCATCTTGCACTGCTGCTGGTGAATGTCGTCTACATCTCAGATTAATGAAGCCTGTGTTCATAAACAGACACACTCAATGTGCGAGCTGTAGGACCATCTGGTACCATTAAAACTTTCTTCTTGAAACATAAAAATACTTTTTCTGTCGCTACAGTTTCATTGGCCGATAAATGTTTTCTTTGTTTGACATGTAGTGTGGCAATTGAAACAGTTCACTGAAAATGTCCACCTGGACATTTTTACTGATGTACTGATGGCTTAATCGGAGGCTTCTTAAGCAGCAGAATGTACTGCCGCAGAGCCTGAGAGAGCCAAGATAATTAAACTTGTATTCAAGATAAAAAAATTATGAGACATTCACTGAAAACACAGAGATAGTCAATAATTAGATATGTGAGTGTACAAAATTCAGACAAACATTTTCAAGGACATTGGCACAAAATCCTCAATTAGCCTGCAATCTCAATTACTAATGTTCATTAGCAATGTCATAGACAGCTCATTATGAATTCATGCAAGACGATATTGTCATTAATAATACATTAGCATTCACACACTAGTGTATACGCCTCAGCATTTATGTAGACTATTGGATAAGTTCATTTGAGTCATTGGTGTTGATGTTGGCTTAAATGTAAAAATGAGGATTGCAAATGTTTGTCAACATAGATTTTTATTAATAAGAGAAGGTTCTGTAAATCTAAAAGTGACAAGACTATTTACACTGAAGTTCAAGTTGGTAATTTGTTATCCTGAAGGGTCAGGAAACAGCACCTTTAAAGCACCTGTTACGTAACAACCAGCCATAAGTCTGTCCGCCTTTAAACATTTTATGTCCTATTGTGTGTTGCTTTGTTTATCTTTATATATTTTGAACTTATTTGTGTCTCCTCATTTTTAATTCCTTGATATCTGCACACCACTAGTTCAGATACACAAAGAATATGACATTTTCAAGTTAAAAGCTTTGATCAAACTTAAGTCAGAAACATACTATGTGCAAGTATGCAAACTCAGATGCAAATGAATATGTACACTGCAAAAAAGAAAATGTTCTTATTATTTTTGTCTTGTTTTTCAGCACAAATATTTAAACTTTCCTAAATCAATGGTATTTTTTTGGCTGATTGGCTGATATTTTTCTTGTTTTAAGATTAAACACACCTAATTTTGATAATTGCTCCAGAAAACAAGACTTAATACCTTAAGTAATTTTCCTTCTCAAGTAACTGTACCTTGATTTGGGAATCTTTAGATATTTTTATGGAAAAAGGACAAAAATACTAAGAAATTAATTTTTTGTAGTGTTTCTAAATGTGTTTTCTTGCATAGTGGCTGTAATAATTCTCAGTATCCAAAGAGACGATTGTTAACTTTCAATGTCTGTGCCATTAAAACAAATGTAATATTATTCAGGTATGTAACATTAGTTGATCTGAGAGAAAAAAAATTGCTGTTGAAGACAAAATATGTGTTGCTACAGCACGCAAAACATTTTTTTAGCTGTTTAACTACAAGCATTTGCGTTCATGTACTTGCATAAAGTATGCTTTGGCCCTGAATGCAGAATGTGTATTCTGTACTCAAAAACCTTTGCATCCCTCGGTTGGTTTGTCATGAATGTACTTGGATTTACTAAGGCAGAATTCCTTCATGATTTGTGGTGTGTTCCCCTGCAGTCCTTTTCTGCATAGAAGTTTAGATCTTTTAGTGTTTATTTTTGTATTTTTCACATGGCAGGAATTTAGCTTTAGCGGCAAAGACTCAAAGAGGTGTAATATCAAGTAAATGTGATATATGAAGCCATACAAACACTGTGAGAACAGAACAGTAATAGCAGTACTACAATGCACAGGCGAGAGCTGGTGTTCAGCCCATATACAAGAATAATACACTTTACACAGAGTGCTTTAGAGTTAGTGTGAGAAGGATGGAGGGGATATCTATAGTTTCCTCTTTCCTCATCAGATCAACACAAACCTGTAGTGTAAGAGAGAGGGGAAAGAAGTGAATTCATGCGTGCAATGCAGAGGGTTTTATCACATTCTCTGCAATATGGACAACTTAATCACATAATGAACAAAATTTTAAAAGAATAAACTAAAGTAACATGCAAGCACTGTGTCTTTGTTCATCATTTTGAAGAACTGCACATGACACACTACCGTTCAAAAGTTTGGGGTCGTTGGATTTTTTTCAAAAGAAGTCTCTTATGCTCATCAAGACTACATTTTTTAAATCAAAAATACAGTAAAAACAGTAATATTGTGAAATATTATTATAAAGTAACTGTTTTCCAATTCAATATATTTTAAAATGTAATTTATTCCTGTGATGCAAAGCTGAATTTTCAGAAGTCATTATTTCAGTCTTCAGTGTCACATGATCCTTTAGAAATCATTCTAATATGCTGATTTGGAACTCAATGTTGATTTCAACAATTATCAATGTTTAAAACAGTTGTGCGGCTTAATATTTTTATGGAAACCGAGATACATTTTCCAGGATTCTTTGATTAATAGAAAGCTCAAAAAACACTAAAACAGCATATATTTCATTTAGAAATGTTTTGTAACAATGTAAACGTTTTTACTGTCACTTTCAATCAATTTAATACATCCTTTCTGAATAAAAGTACTTGTTTCTTTCAAAAATAAATGAATTTGAGTGGTAGTGTTTCTGTATCTGTAATGTTTCTTTCCTTGTATACTGTTTTCAATAAAGAAAATAATTTAAAACAGGCAGAATAATTGAAAGTTTTAGTTATTAATTTCTATAAATCCATAGAAAATAATATAAGAAAAAATCACGGTGCACTGGTGCATAAGATGCCTTGTAAATATGCTTTCAGAACTCAAAACCTCAGTCTGAAAAAGATAATTTAAACCTTTGTAAGTAATTTACATTCGTCTTAAAGGAGTAGTAACAAAATAAAATGGTTATTGTACAGTACATTATTTGGGATTGTGCCCTTAATGGCCTTAATGATGCACATTCACTTATGTTATAAGCAGACACTTAACAAAAAAATAAAATGATAAAAATTTTGATATGAACAATATAAGCCCCTAAATAAACATTTACAATATTGATGTTTGCATAATACAATAACTGCATAACAGCTCTGCTCCACTGTACCTTCACACTCAAAAGCCTTCAGTATGGTGGTGTAACTGGGCCCCAACCAGGAAGTGTAGGTCCCCATAACACGCAGCAGCTTTTTGGTGGAATCACTGAACAGCACATCAGGTTGCCCATAATTCACCGAGCTGAACAGAGAGAATCCTTCAGTGGCATTAGCAAATGCATTCTAGAAGACAGAAACGAGTAAAACAAAATAAGAAAAAGAGAAAATGCAATCAAACAGAATTTCTGGAATACTCAAACAAGGAAAAGAGCTGAGGGTGGGTGTTAGTTTGAAATATGTATATGCATATTTTGTTTCATTTGCAAATATTGGATCTTCTTGACAATATTTGCTCATATCTTGCACCGTGCTTTGCTCAGTAGTGTATGTGTGCTAGTCCTGCTTTCATAACAGAGCTCACTGTAGTGTCATCCTCCCCTAGTGACACACTGTAATGTGAGACGGTGTCTTGTGGAAATCAATGATCACCACGGGGCTCAAGCTGGATGTATTGAACGCATAAGTCAGCCTGATGTAATCTGTATAATACTCGAGACGTTCAGAGATACCACTGTTAATATAGGTTTTGGCAGGGTTCGTTTAATCATACCGTTGACCGCTAATGTGCAGGAACAACACTTCCAATGAGAATTTCATGCTCAGTATTGAACAAAAGGGATTTCAGTTTTTTATTTTTACTGTTTTTATATTATTTCACAGATAATGTAATAAAAATGTGAATCAAACCTGATATCCACAGACAATGTAACCGTCTGGCAGTATGATGTCAATATATAATCTGTGGCATTTGTGTGTGTGTGTGTGTGTGTGTGTGTGTGTGTGTGTGTGTGTGTGTGTGTGTGTGTGTGTGTGCATGTGTGCGAAGTACAATGTGGTCCAAAAGCCTGAGACTACTAGTTATAGTGCTTCTATCTGACATTTTTCTGATTTAATAAAAAATTTTCTTCATTAAAATAATAAGCATTAAATTTGAGTCAAATGTTTTATTAAAAAAAATTATAATTGTGCCTAAAAATAGTGCAGAGTTATACATACTTCTTAATTTCACATTAGGGGTGTAACAATACACTCATGTCACGACTCTGTTCGATACACAATACCAATCTCACAATAAAATATTATTATACAGTGCTCTCATTATCTCTTTGTTTGATCAAAACAAAGCCAGAATGGTACGTTTTTTTTTATTTTTCATTATTACTTCTAAGACATGAAGAGTTAGCAAAAAGCACTGTTCATTAACCAGAATAGAAATACTTATAATTCTGCTTAGCTGAAAATACAGAATTGTTATATATGTTTGCACTCTGTTCCTGACCATATATTTTAAAGGTTTTAAATATTGTATTTCATTAAATAACGTTCATTTATGAATAATAATTAATAAACATGAAAGCTCAAATTTGTGAGCTTTCTCTGGTTTGTCTTATTTGATGTGTTCTTTGTATGCGCATTTACCATTGCTTTTTCTTTAATAAAAGCCTAAATTATATCTAAACTTTCATTTTGGGAGAAATATACACAATACATATTATCACTATCCACAATGCATATTGTTGCATCTTTGTATCATGATATATTGTGACACGATGTATTGTTGCACCCCTGTTTCACATAATACCTTTCATTAACTTTTTTTCCCCTAGGTTTAAGGGCAAAAAATCCTGGATTTTCTGACTGTTCTCAGGTTTTGGGCTCCAATGTGTGACTGTGTGGCCGTTTCTCCTGACCTGCACACGTTCCAAGAACTTGTAAATGCGGCATTTGTCCTCCAAACGCACTACTACAGCATTGGTTGGCACCACAGCCAGGTGGCAGCTCTCGTGTTGGAACAGGTTAGCTTTTCTCCCGTCAGTACACAAGAGTTTCAAGTCTTCCAGCTCCAGGTCCAGCGCCCAGGACTCCTGGTTCTTGCCTTACATGAATAATAAGCCAGACAAAGGTTTTTTACAGACAGCGACAACTTCTAAAACAGAAGGCATGATGCAACATTTGTCTGATGAAACTTTTAAACATAAAATTAAAGCTTGCAAGTCATGCAGGCTTTTATAAAACAAAAAATATCTCTATTAAACTAGCATCTGTGATCCCTGAACTTGGCTAACAGGGTGTACTGAGACTAAACAAGGGTTTCACAGATCCCAGCAGGCACACAAAGAGATGCATTGTTGTGAAATGCTGCCCCCCTGTGTCTGTCAGCCAGTGAAACATGATACAGATCATGAAGTGAAGGCTACAATTGTCCTCCTTCAGTCCCTTAAAAAAAATTCAATTTAATAAGAAACCAACTTGAAATTCTTACTACAACTGGACATTTTTTGCTCTCCTGTTTAACTAGCTCTTCTTACACCTTGCACTACTTACCCTGCATGTTGTCGAAGACTGTAGTGTGCTTAACAAAAGCAACATCCCCGAGATTCTCGGCCACACACCTGTATGTTTTAAATAATAGTATATAATAATACACATAAAATATATACACTACCATTGAAAAGTTTGGGATTAGTAGGTTTTTTTTAAATAAATGTATACTTTTATTGCATAAGGACGCATTAAATGAATCAAAAGTGACAGTAAAGACATTTAGAATGTTACAAAAGATTTCCTTTTCAAACTTTCTGTTCATACAAATACTGAAAAACAAAAATTCTACACTTTCCACTCTTAATTAAGCAGCCCAACCATTTTCAATAATAATACATTTCTTAAACCCTAAATCAACATATTAGGATGATTTCTAAAGGATCTTGTAACACAGAAGACTGGGGTAATGGCTGCTGAAAAAGGAGCTTTGCCCTTACAAAAAAAAAGGAACATGTAAAATATATTGAAACAGAAAACAGTTATTTTAAACTGTAATAATATTTCACAATACTACTGTTTTTGATTAAATTAATGGAGCCTTGGTAAATGTTCTTTCAAAAACTTTTCAATAAATCATACTCACCCCAAACTTTTAAATGGTAATGTATTATTGTACATATATACATAGATTTTTTTTGTCCCAAATCCATTAAGCAATCCAATATTCTCGCTACACAAAGCACATTCATATTTTGAAAAATGATTCCACTAAAACGTATGCATTCTCTCACATCTCATCATCATACAGCACCTAAGAGCTCCAGCCTCCCCGAAGTGCCGTTCCCGAGGGTTGTTGGCGCAGATGTGGTGGTCGTTCTCGTCCCCAATGCAGGCCTCACACAGGTTCCTTGGGTTGTTTCCTTTGGGATCATGTTCTGGGTCCTTCACTCCTGGGACACAGCTGTAGCCAAAGAAATCTCCTACCGCTGGAAACAATAGGGAGATGGATATAGCTTTTTAAAGGGCTGCCAAAAGGTGCAATTACATTCTCAATTTGCATCTGAACCATTTTGAACCACTTACATTCAAAAATGAAAGCATTGCTGAGTTAAGATGACAAAGGCTTTGCAATCTATCAAATAATATCAGTAACTATTAGACATGAGCCACATAATGCAGTGATCTCACCATGGGGAAAGTTGCACTGCTCATCCACGCTGATCTGCGATGTGTTGACCAAGAAGCCGATGGGGACGGTCCAGCCCACTGTAGTCCGCATCCCTGGGTGACAAGAACTGCGTTCGTGCATCTCCAGCAGTGACAGATCGCTGGATGATGTCCGTGCCAGTGCAACCACGTAATAATTAATGCCATCTGTGTCAGACACAAAACATCGGTAAAGTCACGTGAGCATGCACTGACGTCAAGCTCTTTGACTAAAATATTTTATCAGATCTCTGACTGGTGCTTTAATGCTTTTAATAGTTTAAACATACTCACCCACACCATTATAAGACTCTCCCACAGCCACATCTAAGACACGTGGACACACATTGACGTCAGATTATCAGATCTCTGATCTCTGGTGTTTCAATTGTTTTAATAGTTTAAACATACTCACCCACACCGTTATAAGACTCTCCCACAGCCACATCTAAGCCATAGCAAAACCCAGCTGTATAGATCTCATCAGCATACATAGTAGAGGCATCTGCAGTGCCATTCTGTTTACATCACAGACAAATTATACTAAACCATATACTGAGAAATTTCCATCATTTTTGATATAATGGAAAAGCAAAACGTCAAACATTTTGTAAGACTGAATAATCAGTTGAGAAGTTGAAGGAGTGCAAGAAAAGCAAAAAGGAGGAGCAAACATCTGCACAATTTTAAGGTTCAATCTGAAATATATGAGACTTGTAATATTGCAGTCATTTTCAAGCACCATATCTGATTTGATTTGCTTCTTGGGAAGCAATTTCCTACAACCTTAATTTGCTTCATGCAGTCACTGGGACTTTGGCCCCTCACACAAAGGAGTTGTCCGCGGATGTTCCTGGCTGTGGCGTTCCCAGCTAGATCCAAACACTTTTGCTCTTCAGCATCAGACACTGTGCACCACCTGACTGCAAAGCAAATAAACTTTCATTTGATTTTAAACCAGGAGGGTGAAAAAGTCAGTGAAAGTGATTTTGTGCTTCTTTGAGATGGCACAATAATATGCCGTTCATGCCGTTCACGCAAGCTTCTAGAGGGCACATAACATATCAAGCCTTTTGTAAGATTGAATAATCAGTTGAGAAGTTGAGTGAGTGCAAGAAAAGCAAAGGAGGATCAAAAATTAGGACAATTGTATGGACAATCTGAAATCTATGAGCCTTGTAATATCACTGTAATTTTCATGCACCATATCTGATTTTATTTGCGTCTTGGGAAGCAATTGTCTACAACCTTTATTTGCTTCATGCAGTCAGTGGGACTTTGGCCCCTCACACACAGAAGTTGTCCGCGGATGTTCCTGGCTGTGGCGTTCCCAGCTAGATCCAAACACTTTTGCTCTTCAGCATCAGACACTGTGCACCACCTGACTGCAAAGCAAATAAACTTTCATTTGATTTTAATTCAAAATGTGTACTTTTTCAAATAGTGACAATCA